TGCTAAAACAAACCCTGTTGTGTACATGAGAATTAAAAACTATTGCTACTAGGGCTCCAGTCCACACATGCATGAATTTATTCCAAGCAAAGTATGCTTAAACATATCCTTGTGATGAGTAGATGGCTGCAGATAAGTTGTCTCAGAAATACACTTATCTTAGGCTTATCGTTGTCATTTTTTGTTGTTAAGTGCCATCAAGTTGGTTCCAATCCATAGCAATCCTGTATAGGATTTCCTAGGAGTGACTAATGAGCTAGAACTGCCAACCTTGCAGTTCAAACAGACTTTGCAGTCCAGTGCTGTAACCCACAGCATCACACCAGCCCAGCCAAAACAGTGGCTTCTGAGGGAATCTGTTGTGCCAGTTTAATTCAAGGCAGAGAGGTCAACTCAGAAGTTTATGGCAACTGTTTCTGGGGAGTCCAAGGGTAATCTTGACAGACTTTCTCAAAGGACATAAGACAGTCACAGGGTTTATTATGAAATTTTAAGAAAACTGAAAACTGCATTGGTGACAAACAGATAATGAAAGTTGAACTAAGGAATTTTTATTTTCTGCCATGTCAATGCACCTGTTCATTCTCTGAGGGTAACAAGGGCTGTCCTGTTAGAATTTCATTGGGAAACTTTATCCCACCCACTCTACAGCCCTGGTCCTGCTCCTTCTGACTTTCTGTTCCCAAAACTCAAAGAACATTAAAGGGAACACAATTTGAGTGCCTCAAAGATCCCCAAGGTGCCATTTTAACATGGTTTAAATCAAAGAGCACATCATTCTTTGTGGAAACTTTATAGAGATATGTATACAACCTGCTGGTGTTATTGTTAAGTGCTGTAGAGTCAGTTCTGACTCATAAAGACCCTGTATAGAGTTTCTGAGGAGCAGCCGGTGGATTTGAACCGACCTAATGGTCCAATGCATTATCCTGCAGTGCCACACCAGAATTCTATGTATAGACCTAGGTGGAGGATATTTCTTGAAACAATAGCTTCATATTTTGATATTTTTATTTAGTAAAGGTTGCTAATTTTGTAGCAATACTTTTTGACTGATCCTCATACATGCACTCGGAAACACACCCCTCTATGGTAAATAGTTCAAGTACCTCAGCAATCTAGAAACTAACAACAAATCGCCATCTGATTCCTTAAAAAGTGGTCAGGCATTGGAAGACAAAGGTCTAAGATAAACACAGTAATTTCTGTCAATCTTGATCTACAACAGAGTTAAACAGATTGACAATTGTTTGGGTAGTGATTTTAAAATACTGTCAGAACCACAGAGAAATTGCGCTTACTTTTACTCTTGTTAAGATTCCTTTTCGGCTTTCCACCAATCACCACAGCATCTTTCAAACACAAAAATCAAAACTTAAAGCCTCTGTTGAAAACGAGTATTTGACTTGGGAACATGAACTATTCTATAGCTGGCCAGTGCCAGGACTGTTTGTACTCTACCAACTGGATAAGTCTATGGACAAGCTTGGTCTATAGGTGTCACTACAATACTTTGAAAGGTAAAAATTATGAAACGCATCCCTTTTTTTCTTCAAATGAACTGTCCTTTTCTTTCTGTCTGACTTAGCAAATAGATTTCTTGTGTGGGCACTGCTTTGACATATCATTAACTCTGACCTACTTAGACATTAAGGAGCTCTGGTAGCATAGTGGTTACGAATCGGGCTGCAAACCGCAAGGTCACTAGTTCGAAACTACCAGGTGCTCCACAGGAAAAATATGAGGCTTTCTGCTCCTGTAAAGATTTACAGCCTTGGAAGCCCTGTTCAGGGTCACTATGGGTCAGAACCGACTCGACAGCACTTAACAACAACAACCTAGACATTCTACATTCTTCTAGAGTCCCCTACTTAAACATGCAATTGTAGGAAACCTATCATTTGAAAAGCATTGTGTTAGGTAACATTGTTGTTGTTGTTAGGTGCCATCAAGTTGGTACCAACTCATAGCGACCTTAAGCACAGCAGAAAGAAACACTGCCCGATCCTGGGCCAACCTCACTAATGTTGCCACACTTGAGTCCATCGATGCTGCCACTTGGACAATCCATCTCATTGGGGTCTTCCTCTTTTTCTCTGACCCTCCACCTTACCAAACATGATATCATTCTCCAGTGACTGCTCCCTCCTCACAATATGTCCAAAGTATGAGAGGCAAAGTTTGGCCATCTTGGCCTCTAAGGAGCACTCTGGATGCATTTCTTCCAAAACGGATCTATTGGTTCTTTTGGCAGCCCATGGCACTTTCAATATTTTCCAACACCATAACTCAAAGGCATCAATTCTTCTATGGTCTTCCTTATTCACTGTCCAGCTTTCACATTCATATGAGGTTATTGAAAATACCATGGCTTGGGTCAGGCGCACCTTAGTCCTCAAACTGACATCTTTGCTCTTTAACACTTTAAAAAGGTCTTGTGTAGCACATTTGCCTAATGCAATACGTTAGGTAACATGAGCTGATGGAAAATGGTAAATGCATGGAGGAGTAGGAACAGTGGTGTTACATTGTAGGGACTGTAATCAATGTCACAAAACAAAACGCGAATGAATGTTGAATGGAAAACCAATTTGTTCTATAAACTTTCACCCAAATCACAGTATTTTTTAATAATCTATGAGCCAAGACTGAGTCCTCAAGAGGCTTCTCAGCAAAACCTAAGTCAACACAGGAATTTGAATGGCTGGCCACTCCATTCTCTATTGCATTCCATTCACATCCTGTTCCCACTTCTAGATTTAATGCCCTCTTTTCCAGTTCCTAATCATCCTTTAAATTTCTTCCATTAAGGAAATATCACCTCCTCCAGGAAGCCTTCCCTGGTCCAGTCTAAGCCATCATAACATACTGTTCTGGGAGGTGATACAGAATAACGCTTGAGAGCTGAGTTCTATGTCAGGTGGCCAGTGCTTATCCTACAGCACAACCCCAAGACTCCATTACTAACAATAAGATAAACAAAAAACAGACAGTCACAAATGCAGTTCATCATAACTCAAATAAGTTGTAAGTCAGGAATTACCTGTACTGGGGCTCTCTCCATGGCAACTCCTTCCTTTAGGTAGATCACTTAAAACTTTCCCTAGGTCATCTTCATGATATTAGGAGCCTGAAAGATAAGTTAGAAACGCAAGCATAATTAGCACACCACTAAATAAAGTATGGCCAAGCATAGAGTGTAAAAGACTAGAAAGTATATAATAAAGCACAATGTAAAATAAAGTATAAGTGATACAAACGTAAATCAAATATTTACAAAAGAGCATGCCACAAAATTCTCTTTTGTGGAATATTTTAATTTAATTATGTAAACATTTTATATACAAAAATAATCTTTTTATGGAATATATATATTGGGTCAGATAACTTATATCAACAACATACTTTTTGCCTAAAGCACACATAGTCATTTGAAATGGTTCTTATTATCTGTCAGCAAACAGTTTGATTTCCCTAAGTAATGGCTTTAAAAAGGAATATTGACAGAGCTTTAAATTCTCCTATGTATTTACCTATAGTCCAGGTGTGGCACTATAGGATAAGTACTGGACTTCTAACCACAAGGTTGATGATTCAAACCCACCAGTCACTCCTTGAGAACCCTGTACAGAGTCACTAGGAGTCAGAATGGACTCGACAACACTTAGTAACAGTAACATGTATTTACCAATGCTGTTGTTCTTAGGTACCATTGAGTCAGTTCAGATTTATAGAGACCCTGTGTCCAGTCAAATCCTCAAAATTGTTGCTCTGCCTGAGCCTATTGTTGCAGCCACTGTACCAACCCATCTTATTGAGGGTCTTCCAATTGTCTGCTGACCCTCTACTTTACCCTCTACTTTACCAACCATGACGTCTATCTCCAGGGGCTGGTACCTTCTGATAATATGATCAAAGTACAGGGGGCAAGTCTTGCCATTCTCCCTTCTAGGAAGGATTCCAGTTATACTTCTTCTAAGAACTATATTTGTTTATTTGTTCTTCTAGAAGTCCATGGTATAGTCAATATTCTTAGCCAACACTATAACTCAAAGTCATCAATTCTTTCTACTCTTTATTCATTGCCCAGCTGTCACATGCATATGAGGCGATTGAAAAGACCAGGGCTTGGGTTGGGTGCACCTGTCTTAAAGGTGACATCATTGCTTTTTAACATTTTAGAGTGGTTTTTTGCCGTAGATTTGCCCAATGCAATGCATCATTTGATTTCTTGACTGCAGTTTCCAAGGGTGTTGGCTGTGGATCCTAGTAAAACGAAATTCTTGGTAATTTCAATCTTTTAAAATTTTATTATGATGCTGCTTATTTATCCAGCTGCAAGGACTTCTGTTTTCTTTTTGTTAAGGTGGAATCCATGCATCAGTAAGTGCTTGAAGTCCTCTTCACTGTCAGCAAACAAAGTGGTGTCATCTCCATATCTCAGGTTGTTAATGAGTCTTTCTTTAATCTTGATGCTTCTATCTACAGTCCAATTGTTGGGTTCTTTGCTCAGCATACAGATTGAATAACCCTGATTTTAAACCAGTTAGTATCCCCTTGGACTCCTGGTGTGGTGCTGTAGGATCAGCACTGGATTGCAAACCAAACGGTCAGCAGTTGAAATCCACCAGCTGCTCCTCGAAACCCTATACAGGGTCACTATGAGTCGGAACTGACTCAACAGCACTTAACAACAACAACAAGTATCCCTTGGTTCCGGTTCCACATGGACACAATTAAGTGTTCCAGAATTCTCTTTCTTCTCAATGTTATCTATAATTAATTATGGTGGAAGATTTACCAGGACATGTTGTACTAATCCTTTCTCTGGTCATCAAATGGGAGAGAGGTGACATAGGCTGGTTCTACTGCCTACAACTAGTGACAAATAAAAGGGCTGTCATATACCTGGGACTCCCCTTGTTCCACAAATCCTATCCATGTGCATTGGAAATTATAGTCTAGATAATTCTAAATTTCTGATCTCTCCTTCGCCTCAGGAATCGACAAGTTTAAAGGCCAGATCCTACACAGTCAAGAATACAAGATCCCAGAAGGCTTTCAGGGCAAACGTATCTTAGTGATCGGTCTTGGAAACACTGGAGGGGACGTTGCAGTGGAGCTCAGTCGAACAGCAGCTCAGGTATACCACCTCTGATTCCACATCCCCACCCATCATTATTTCTAATGGTCTGTATTCAAGATTCTAAAACACTCTGGCTAATTGCATAATTACAGAGTCACATGGTATGTGGAAAACCCTGAAAGTTATTTTTACTTAGCTGTTTTAAGAATCCACACTTTACAGAATTGAACCATCTCCCAGAAAGGTCAGGAAATTTATGTGGAAACCCGGCCACTAGACTTTTTTTAATGGTGCTCCTTCAAGAATAAGTCCAAATGGCCAAATGGACAATTACTTTTCTATAAACAAATGTTTACACGCTCCTTTTGTAATTTTGTAAGGATAGAAAACAAAAGATATTTTCTGAACCTCTGCAAATTCTCTATTAGAAGTAAGATCAATATTGTGTTTTAATACAAAGCAATGCATACTTTATTCAAGAAGTATACATAATGATCTTAGAAAGTCTATGTTATTCAATTTGTATGCTTCAACCATTATATGGTGTCCCATTCACCATCAAAAAGAACATTTCAAAATCGGTACTGAAGTACAACACGGTCTGTGATAGAATAATATCCATACACCTACGAGGAAAACCAGTTAATACAACATTTATTCAAATTTATGAGCCAATCACTAATGCTAGTGATGAGATTGAAGAATACTACCAATTTTTTCAGTCTAGAATTTATCAAACTTGCAAGCCATATGCTTTAATAATTACTGGTGATTGGAATGCAAAGGTTGTAAACAAAGAGGAAGGATGAATAGTTGGAAAATATGGCCTTGGTGATAGAAATTCTGCTGGAGACTGCATGATAGAATTTTGCAAGAATGGATAACTTCTTCAATGCAAATACTTTTTTAAACAACATAAAAGATGACTATGCACATGGACATCAACAGATGAAATACACAGAAATCTATTTGACTATATGTTTGGAAGAAGATTGTGGCATAGCTCCATATCAGTCAAAACAAGGTCAGGGGACGACTGTGGAAAAGACCATCAATTGCTCATATACAAGTTCAGGCTGAAGCTGAAGAAAATTAAAACCAGTCCACAAAAGCCAACATATGACCTTGAACATATACCAACTGAATTCAGAGACCATCTGAAGAAATAGATTTGATGCATCAGACATTAATGACTAAAAAGCAAAAGAGTTGTGGGATGACATCAAGAACATCATACAAGAAGAAAGTAAAAGGTCATTAAGAAGACAAAAAAGAAGGAAAAAGCAAAATAGATGTCAGAAGAGACTCTGAAATTTGTTCTCCAACCTAGAGATGCTAAAGCAAATGGAAGAAATGAGGAGGTAAATATTATAATGAAATGGGCAAAGACTTGGAGTTAGAAACACCAAAAGGGAAGAACACACTCAGCATTTTTCAAGCTGAAAGAACTGAAGAAAAAATGTAAGCCTCAACTTGCAGTATTGAAGGATTCAATAAGCAAAATATTGAATGATGCAGAAAACAACAAAAGAAGATAGAAGGAACACATAGAGTCACTGTTCCAAAATGAAATGGTGGATTTTCAACCATGTCAAGAGGTAGCACACACACACACAAAAAGAGGTAGCATATGATCAAGAGCCAATGATACTGAAAGAAGAAGATCAAGATGCACTGAAGGCATTGGCAAAGAACAAGACTCCAGGAATTGATGGGATACAAACTGAAATATTTCAACAAACTAAGGCAGAACTTGAGGCACTCACTCTTCTACACCAAGAAATTTGGAAAACAGCTTCGTGACCAACTGATTGGAAGACATCCATATTTGTGCCCATTCCAAAGAGAGGTAGGTGACCCAACAGAATACAAAATCATTGGACAATATCATTAATATCACAATCAAGTAAAGATAATTCAAAAGTGGCTGCAACCATACATTGACAGATTCAGACAAGGATATGCAACAAGGGATGTCATTGCTGATGTCAGATGAATCTTGTCTGAAAGCAGAGAATATCAGAACAATGTTTATCTGTGCTTTATTGACTACACAAAGACTTTTGATTGCATGGACCATGGCAACTATGGAAAATACTGCAGAGAAAGTATTCCCGAGCACTTAATTGTGCTCATAAGAACACTGTACATACAAAACAAAGGCACTGAATGATTTAAAATTAGTAAAGATGTGTGTCAGGGTTGTATGTTTTCACTATGATTACTCAATCTGTATGTTAGGCAAAAAATCTGAGAAGCTGGATTATATGAAGGTAAATGTAGCATCTGGATTGGAGGAAGACTCATTAACACCCTGAGATATTCAGATGACAGAATCTTGCTTGCTGAAAGAAGAAGCTTAAGAACTAGTTTCCACCCTAAAAGAAATGTTCTTTGACAGTAACCAAGGTGGATGGGGGGAGGGAAGAATAATTCACAGGCTAGAGGATTTGTTGTTTTTATTATGTGCCATGGAGTTGGTTCTGACTCATAGCGATCCTGCACAGGGTTTCCAAAGCTATAAATCTTTAAAGGAGCAGAAAACCTCCTCTTTCTCCTGCAGAACAACTGGTAGTTTCGAACTGCTGACCCTGAGGTTAGCATCCCAATTCATAACCACTACTCTACCAGAGCTCCTTGTTAAATTAGGGGATGGGGTGGGCAATATACAAGAAAGGGGAGAGCAATATACAAGAAGAGGGAGGGTGGCAGAAGAATAATGAAGATAGTTGAAGACCCAGGGAGATATGCATGGGCTAAGGGGATAGATATAAATAGTAATATACACGCAACCCTGGAACAACAATGTTCTGTGAATAAATACATGGATTGATACACAGGCTGAGTGGGTAAAGGAGGAAGAGTGAGAAATGTGTATTTTTATATCCCCCCCAAATTTTAAGAGTTTAAAAGAGAAAATCAAAACATTCTTTGATGGTTGCCAGTGGTGGGAGGGAATGGAGGGTAGATCACTGGTTATAGGAAAGATACACATTAGCTTGGGTAACGGGGAGAACAACATACAAGAAAGGGAAGGCAATATACATGAAGAGGGAAGTTAACAGAAGTATGATGAGGACAGATGAAGACACAGGGAGGTATATTAAGGATAAAGGGAATACAGGTAAATAATGATATATATACAACCTTGGAACAACAATACTTTGTGGGTAGATACATAGACAGAGACACATGCTGAATGACTATGGGAAGAAGACTAGAATGTGTGTATACGTGTATGTCTGTATATGTATGTGTGTATGCATACATGTTTATGTATGTATACATTCATATGTCCCACAGATATACAAGAATATGTAAGAGGAAATTGCTACATGAGTATTTCCCTTTCCTGCAAACCACTGTGAATGTGGTGATGTATACAGGGGGCAAAGTGATGAAAACTAGACATTATCAAACATCTTAAGGCAATGAGTAGCTAAGCCTGGAGGACCATAGTCTCAGGGGACAGCATGGTCAATTGGCACTACATAGTACACAAAGACAATGTTCTACATCCTAGTTTGGTGAGTAACATCTGGGACAGTAAAAGCTTGTGAGTGACCATGTAAGGTGCAGCCATTGGTCTCTCCATGTGTGAAAGAAAGAAGAGTGGTGAGAATTACAGATGCTTGGAATCAGTGTATCCAATGGACAAATGGAACATGTGAACATCAGTCTCCAAGATGCTGAGATCAAAAAACCTAGATGGTTCCCAGCTATCACTGAATGGGATCACATTAGAAAATCCTGGATAAAGCAGCATAATGTGTAGAACAAAACCCAAAATTATTAAAATAAAATAATTCTGACTGGTCAGAAGGAGAAAGGAGGAACCTGAGACTGTGGCCCTCGACTACCCTTCAGTTCTGAAAAAGAACACATCCTCTTCTAGGCAAGCAGTAGATAAATATATAGGTGGAACAACTTTCAGCCAAGCAGTATATAGGGGGAACAACAAGAATTGTAATATATGTTACTATGAATGATGGAATGGTTAATCATTCAAAATCAAAAGGGGCAAATATACCTTAGGACAATGGCGATAAGGGATGAGAAGATGGGAGGAAGGGAAATAGGAGCCACAGGGAAGAAGCAGATAACTGTTATTCTGCAGAGAGGATTGCAATCATTGTGATGAAGCAAAGTGTATTAATTGTTGAACGTAAAACTGATGATCTCATCTGTAAACCTTCACTCAATTCACAACAAAAGGTTAAATTAAAAAAAAAAAAAAATCACTGATGAAAATCAAAGACCACAGCCTTTAGTATGTTTTGCACCTCAATGTAAAGATAGCAAAACTCCTCATAACTGCACCAATAAATAACATCAAGATAAATACAGAAAATATTGAAGTTGTCAAAGGCTTCATTTTGCTTAAATCACCCATAAACACTCATGAAAGCAGCAGTCAAGAAATCAAATGAAGTATTACATTTGGCAAATGTGCTGCACAAGACCTTTTAAAGTGTTCAAGAGCAAAGATGTCAGTTTGAGAACTATGGTGCACCTGACCCAAGCCACAGTATTTTCAATAACCTCATACACATGTGAAAGTTGGACAATGAATAAGGAAGATGGTTGGAGGAGAATATTAAAAGTACCATGGATACCCAGAAGAACAAACAAGTATCTGTTGGAAAAAGTACAACCAGAGTGCTCCTTAGAAAACAGAATGGCAAGACTTCACCTCTCAGACTTCAGACATATTATCAGGAGGGACCAGTCCCTGGATAAGGACATCATGCTTGGAAAAGTGGAAGGTTGGAGTAAACAAGGAAGATAGATTGGCACAGTGGCAGCAGCAACAGGCTCAAGTGTAGTGATGACTGTGAGGTTGGCACAGAACCAGGCAGTGATTCATTCTGTAGTGCAAAGGGTCAATATATGCATATGAGTCAGTACTGACTCAATGGCACCTAAACAACAACAACAGAGCATAGATTCACAAATCAGAAATCTAGTCCAATTTACCATAAGCTATAGGACAATGATTGGAGTCCTGGTATGGCACTGTGGGTTAATGCACCAGACTGCAAAGCTGTTTGAACTGAAAGGTCAGCAGTTTAAGCCCACCAGCAGCTCCTCAGAAACCCTATACAGGGTCGCTATGGATTGGAACTGACTAAACGGCACTTATCAACAACAACAAATAGGATAATGATTAAGTCTAGTAAGAATAGATTTTTATTTCATTCAATTAAAATTGCTTTCTCAAACATGCACTTTAAATTCTAAATTAGTTCTGTATAAAAAACTGCCAGATCAATACTATATATTACAGGTATTATAATTATTTATATTAAATCTGATGAGCCTATTTAGCCGGTATATAGAAGAGTAAAAGTGATTGATTTATGAAAATGGTGACAGCAATAGGAACAGATAATCTTTTATAAATCTACAAGGGGACTTCAAAAAGTTCATGGAAAAATGGAATTGATAGATTATAGAATTTTTCTGTAAACTTCTTGATGCCTCTTTATACTAATTGTTCTTATAAAACCATCTGAACACAAAGAAAAATACTACAAAATGACTGAATGGTGTATTCATCCTTTTTGCCTTACCTTTTAGGTATTTCTCAGCACTAGAACTGGTACCTGGGTTATTGGCCGATCTTCAAATGGTGGCTATCCATATAATATGATGGTTACAAGAAGATGCTATAGTTTTACAGAACAAATGCTACCTTCATGTGTACGAAACTGGATTCAAGAGAGGCATATGAATAAAATATTTAACCATGAGAATTATGGATTAAGTATTAAAAAGGGGTATTTAATTTTTTTATTTAATGGAAAATTATTAAATTGATATTTATTTTATTTCATTCAGAAATCAAAATTTTCTGTAATTGTAGCATTGCCTTTATTATCCTGTTGTACATTTACTGCCTTAAGACAATGCCCATACCAAGGCAGTTCTTGAAATCAAGGTATTTTCTATCTGGCAAAAAAAGCAGTGATTCATAAGGCTAGAGAAAAATGAAGGATAGAAAAGCTTTCATATACAGCTTAAAAATCTGGAAACATAAATTGGCTTGGTGGAATCCTGAAATTGCTACCATCTAGAAATGAAGTCACTGAGTGGCACAAACGGTTAAGCACTCGGCTACTAACAGAAAGGTTAGCAAGTTGAACCCACCCAGAGGCACCTTGGAAGAAAGGCCTAGTGATGGGCTTCCAAAAGATCACAGCCTTGAAAACCTGATAGAGTACAGTTCCACTATGCAACACATGCGTTGCTGTCAGTCAGAACTGAGTCAATAGCAAGTAGAGAAAGACAATATTTGTAACATCAGTGAATGCTGACTATCAGCTCTCACTACACATCTGTTCCGACTGAGTGATTAGAGACAGAATTTCCAATAGGATTTCCTAGAATGATAAACTTTAATAGATACCTGTATAGCGATGCACATTGGCAAATGTTAGAGATTGAATGGTGTCCTCCAAAAATATGTATTGTGATTCCTAACCTTTATGCTTGTAGTTATAATCACTTTTGGGGATGTGTTGTCTTTGCTATGTCAATAAGACAGGATTAGTGTAGGGTATATCTTGAGTCAATAACTTTTTAGATTAACCAAGCAATCTAGAGAAGCTGAGATGGGGAAGAGAGATGTCAAGCCACATGAAGATGGTCCAGGAGCTCAGAGACAAGGACTTTCTTCCAGAGCCATTACAGAGAGAAAGCCTTCCCCTAGAGTAAGCACCCTGAATTCAGAAGACTTCTAACTGTGTGGCACTGTAGGTTAATGCGCCAGACTGCAAAGCCATTGAAACTGCAAGGTTGGTAGTTCAAGCTCACCAGTGGCTCCTTGGAAACCCTATACAGGGTTGCTATGGGTCAGAACCGACTCGACGGCACTTAACAGCAACTACAAACTATGAGAGAAAAAAAATTGTTTGTTGTTAAGTATCAAGTCACTTCTGACTAATAGCGACCCTGTATAGGGTTTCCAAAGAGCAGCTGGTGAATTTGAACTGCCAACCTTGTGGTTCAAACCAACCTTGAAGTCAAGTACTTATCCTATGGCGCCACACACCAGGACTGCTTCTATTTGTAATTTCTACAATAGCAGCACTAGATAACTAGGACAGCATGGCAAAGAAAACCTTTAAAATGCCTATGAGGTCACTAGATATGATTTTTAGCATAAGCTCGACCCAATTACCTTTCTGTGATAAGATACATTTCAACTTATAAGCAAAATTAATGGTAAAGGTTCATTTGATATGCAAATATATCTCATGTGATTAAATAGGATGATGTTCATAATAAGAATATCAGTGTACATAAATTTATTTTTTAAATTTTATTCAAAGTTTCTTGATGAGTTCCTCTTTGCTAGCTTCATTTCTTTGAGGCGTGGGGACATGAGACCAAACTGATTATCAGATAGTTTACTGATCTTGATGATCGGAGAAAAGATATTGCCTTAGAAATTAATCCCAAGAGATATAAAAGTTTAATACCATGGCAGGAAAAAAGCAAATTTAGTCATTTCCCACATACTCTACTGAGAGCAGAAAACAAAACATGCTGTAATAACAGCAAGTCAATGCTAGCCCCATTAAGAGTGGAAGACCCCTAAATCTAATGCCCTTAGATAATTTTTAAACCTTGAACTGAAACTATCCCTTAAGTTATCACTAAACCAAACATTTTAGTTTGACTAGCAAAGCGTGTTTTCCTTGAACATAGCCCTCTTTTAAAGAAGTATCTTTATGAGATCAAACTGACAACAATAACTCTAAAGTGTAGCTAAGAAGTTGAGAGGTACTGAATCTTATTCAGTAGTGGTGTAATAATTTGGGCAAAGATAATGAGAGTGATGCACAACATAAAAATATAACCTATATCACCACATTGTACACATAGAAATTACTGGATTACTATATAGTTTCCTGTGAATTCAAATTTTCACCAAAAGCAAAAGAAAGCAAACAAGCAAAAACAAAAATAAAACAGTAAGTCAGATAAACAACTTTAAATATGAAATCAGTCAATTCACTCCCTTGGTTAGCACATCATTTTTCTTCATTGATCCACCAATCAGTCGTTTGCCTAAGTGTCTTGTAGATGTATCTATTGTGAACAATTTTCTCCTCTGTGTCAAAGGAAAAAATCAAAATTAATTGTGAATGATGAACTACCAACTTGTATCCTCTGTGGGATGGTCACTATGAAAACCAGCGTGAAGGAGTTTACGGAGACCTCAGCTCTCTTTGAAGACGGAACAATAGAAAAAAACATAGACGTTGTAATCTTCACTACAGGATACACATTTTCTTTTCCCTTTCTTGAAGAACCTCTAAAAAGCCTTTGTTCAAAGAAGATATTCCTATACAAGCAAGTCTTTCCTTCAAATCTAGAAAAGGCAACATTAGCTATCATTGGCCTCATCAGCCTTAAAGGATCCATCTTATCAGGCACAGAACTCCAAGCACGCTGGGCCACAAGAGTGTTCAAAGGTACCCTGATTCTATTGAAAGTTCTATGTGATTAACTGAACCTTAAAATCAATGTCCTGTTGCTTGGTTCCCTGGGTGGGGCCAAGGGTTTCCACTTGGCTAGTAACTGCAAAATTGGTGGTTTGAATCCCCCCATTGACATCACAGAAAAAAGGCCTGGCAATTTACTTCCAGAAGCTCATAGCCATTGGAAACCTATGGAATATAGTTCTACTCTGATATACATAGGGTTGCCAGGAGTCAGAATCAGTTCAACGGCAACAGGTTTATTTAAAACCAAACAAATGTGTGCTAATGTAGCCTAAAGCATACCCCCTCAAAATGAATCATTTTATATATGCATAGGTGTGGTGCCATAGGATAAGCACTTGACCTCAAGGTCGGTGGTTCAAACTCACCGGTCACTCCTGGGAAACCCTATAGAGGGTCGCTATGGGTTGGAACTGATTCGACGGCACTCAACAACAACAACACTATGATGGGTGTGCCATATCACCTGATGTGACTGACTGGATAAAGAGGTTGAAATAAATTTGAGCAACAGATTAAAGTCAAATTTCGCAGATTAACTGAAATTATTGGAATAATTCCTGGGTCCTAGTGTATTCTGCTCTATTTTATTACTCCAAGGTCTTTCTACTCATCATTAGAAGGAGAATTTTACATTATTTCCAAATAAATGTACTAAAATAATGTTCACTGTGAACAAAGTTAAGGTCTGAGACCACAGAAACCCCTAGGAAGTGCCCTCTGAACACTTGTCCTCGGAGTCCCTGTAGAAAGAAGCACAGGTGATTCAGGTCAGTTCCCAACTCTGAAACCTGTCAGTTGTGTAACCATCTCTCTAAATTTCAGCTCCTTCCTCTGTAAAATGAGAGTGATAAAACCCCCTTCACAAGGATTTTGTAAAATGAATAATGTCTTCAAAGAAATTGGCACAGTACTTGGCACATAGTAAATGGGCATTATTATACTATGACTATTGCTAACATTGTTGTTGGGTACCATCCAAGTTAATTTTGACTCATGACAACCCCATGTGACAGAATAGAGCTGCCCCTGTAAGGATTTTTCTAGTCTGTAGCACTGTAGGATAAGCACTGAACTGCTAACATCAAGGTCTAAGAATCAAATCCACCAGCCATTTCTTGGAAACCCTATACAGGGTCACTATGGGTCAGAATTGACTTGATGGCACACAACCACAACCAACACAACAATAACAATCTTTTTGAGAAAAGATTGTCAGGTCTTTTCTCCTACAGAGCAACTAGCAGGTTCTAACTGTCAACCTTTCTGTTAGCATCAACTTGTGCTCCTTGATTATAATTCTCTAAAATGTAGGGTCGCTATGAATCAGAACTGGCTTGACAGCACATAATAACAATAAAGTAGAGCAGGAGTCCCTATAGAGAGGAAGTCATTCATGTGCTCAGCTATTAACTGAAAAATTAGAGGATCAAGTTCACCCAGCGGCACATTGGAAGAAAGCCCTGTGGGTCAGCCATTGAAAACCGTAAGGAGCACAATTCTGCTCTGACACACATGAGGTCATCAGAAATCAGAATCAACTCAACAATTGGTTTAAAGTTAAGGCAAGTTTTCATTTAGTAAGCATTTTAAAGCATTGTTTTTAAACATAAACAGTGATCACAATTGGGCCAACCAGCTGTCCTTTAGCATAATACTTTTTATAATGAATCAAACAATGATCAACAAACTATAAATAGCATATAAACCAAAACCAAACCAATTTCACTGCCGTCAAGTGAATTCCAACTCTTATCAACCCTACGTATTGTTGTTGTTAAATACTGTGGAGTCGTTTCCAACTCTTAGTGACCCTGCACAGAGTTTCCGAGGCTGCAAATCTTTACGGGAACAGAAAGCCTCATCTTTCTCCGGTGGAACAGCTGGTAGTTTCGAACTGCTGACCTTGAAGTTGGCAGCCTAATTTGTAACCACTATGCTATCAGAGCTCCTTTATAGGGTTTCTGAAACTGTACATCTTTATGAGAGCAATCTCACTTTTCTCCACTTTTCACCCAAGGCTGGTTGGTTTGAGCCACCAACCCTATGGTTAGCAACTTATTGCCTAAGCCACAGCGCCACAACACAGGGGGAAAAAATCCACTGCTGTTGAGTTGATTCTAGCTCACAGTGATCCTCTAGGACTATGTACCCTGTAGGGTTTCCCAAGCTATAAATCTGTCACAGTTTTGTCCCTCAGAGTGCCTAATGGGTTTGAACTTTTCCATTAGCAGTTGAGTGTGTTAACCACTGTACCACTCATATTCTTATAATAATGTTGATTTCTATGGCACTATGCAAATGTAATAGATATAAACTATATTTGAAAACTTCATGTTCTCTTAAGTTGACAGGTATGTTATTTGAGTGATGTGAGGATGAGAAGTTTAGAAAATCTCTCATTTCATGTACAGAAAACATTCCACAATCCTTCATTAAATTATCACAGGTTTTTAATTCTAGAGAAACAATGAAAATGCTTTCACACTTTAATATTCAATTATATTAAAACCACAAAAGACCCTTACAACTAGTTTTTTTAAATATTTCACATGGAGGTCCAAAATGCTTATCAGAATGTTTGAGTACAAAAAATTCTGTCTATTAGAATGTCTATTGTACATTCTATGTACATTGATGTCTATTAGACATCACCATAGGAGTAATTTTGTGCTTTGCTGGAGAGTCTTCCTACAGCATTACAAGAACCACCAGTTGGTTATGTGAGTTTTGAAGAGGATTCTACCTCCATCAAAGTACTCTCTTGTATTTAATTCTATTCTAAACTTTGACTATCTTGTGTTCTGAAGTTGTGGCATGGGAGGTCAGGAATGAGGGGAAGGAGAACTTAAACAAAGGGAAAGCTACATGTGACTTGACTGTTGTCTGATTATTTTTCTCACAGGACTTTGTAAGCTACCACCATCCCAAAAATTGATGGCTGATGCTATTACAAAGGAGCAGCTCATAAAAAGGTATGAAATACTGCTTGTACTGGGGAACAGCATTGGCCTGCTAACCACAAGGTCATCTGTTCAAACCCACCAGAGAATCCTCAGAAACCCTATACAAGGTCACTATGAGTAGGAACCAACTCTCAAGTGCACAACAGCAACTCAGGAAAAGTGTAGCAATCTATTCCATTACCAAAGAGTGAAAAAAGTTCTTAATTTAAAAAGCTGTTCCTAGAGAAGAAATAAGGCACATTGAAAGTAATCTGCATGAGGAATCAGAGATTTTTTTTTTTTTTTTTAGTCCTAACTCTACCTTCAAATGAATATGCTGCCTTAGACTCTCATGGGGAGACACCAGGTCTTCTCAGAGGAACACCGGATCTGGCCCCCAGCAGGTGGACAAGCCTGTCTTCACATGGCCCCAGAGCTTCTTTTGTCTTTGTTTTTCTTCTGTTTCTCTGGCTATTCCTTCTTTGTGTATTTTGCTGGTGGCTCTTACATCTAAAAAATAGTAAATGCCAAATTTAGTCCTCATACCTCTTCTAATGTCTATTTCTACTCACTCCCAGGTGGCCTTATCCAGACCTATGATTTTAAATGCCATCCTACACATTTAGCTCCCAAGCTTGTATCTCTATCCCAGATCTTTCTCTGGTGCCATCAGGCTTCTGTTCCAGCTCCCTCTGGATATGTCCACTCAGATATTTGATGGATATCTCAAACTCACTAGATCTAAAAAACAGCAAAAAATCTCAACCCCTTCTACCATCCCATCTCAATGAGTGGTTCTTATTTTAACTAATCAGTCAAAAGCCTTGGAGTAATCCTTTTCACCTCTTTCTGTCACACCCCACATCAGCAGATCCTATCAACTCATACCTTCATAATAAATCCAGAATCCAGACACTTCTTACTACACTAATGCTACCACCCCAGACCAAGCCACCATTATCTCTCACCAGGAGGATTGTAATAACCTTTTGTCTGATCTCCCTGCTTTCAGTTTTGCTATTAGTCTATATTTGACAGAGCAGTTAGAGTGAGGCACATCATGTTGCTTCTCACTTCAGTCTCTGAGGCCCTGCATGACACTCAGCTTTCTCTTTTTCCTCATTGTCTACTGTGCTCCCGTTTCATCCATGCTGCTTCAGTGACTCCAACCTCCTCATTGTTCCTCAAACATGCCAAGCATAACCCTCCACAGAACCTTTGTTCTAGCTATTCCCTCTGCCTGGAATGTTCTTGCCCCAGGTATTGCATGACTCACTCTGCTCAAATATCACCTCATAAGAAAGAAAGCCTTGCCTGATAACATGACAGAATTTAGCCACTTCCCAGTCTCATTACTGATCTCCCCCTTCACTTTTGTATTTGTTTTCTAGGGCTGCTGTGATGAAATTCCATAAGCTGAGTTGCTTTAAACAACAGAACAGTATTATTCTGGAGGCTAGGAGTCCAAAATCAGGGTGTTGGCCATGTTGATTCCCTCTGAGGGCTATGAGGGAGAATCTGTTCCATGTCTTCTCCTAGCTTCTGGTGATGGTGACTATCTTAGCATTGCAATCTCCATCTTCACAGAGCTATCTCCTCTCTATGTGTCTTTCTGTATCTCTACTCCTGATGTGGTGCTGTGGATTAATGCACTGGACTGCAAAGTCAGTTTGAACCACAAGGTCGGTGGTTCAAACTCACCAGCCACTCCTTGGAAACCCTATACACAATGGGTTGGAACTGATTTGACAGCACTTAGAAGCAGCAGCAGCAACTCCTCTTTTATAAGGACATCACTCATATTGGGTTAGGATTCACCTTACTCAAACATGACTTTGTGTTATGCTGTTAACTGATAACATCTTCAAAGATGTTATTTCCAAGCAAGGCCACATCCACAGATACCAGGGATTAGGACTTCAACATATCCTTTTGGGCACACCATACAATGCATAGAACTCTCATTTATATTTTTTAAATAATACTCAATACCAGATATATTTCATATCTATTTTCTTATTCTTTTTTATAGTCTTCTGATTTCAGCCCCCTCCCTGCCACCACTAGCACTATTAAAATGTAAGCTCTTGGAGACTAAGTACTTTGTTTTGCTCACTGTTGAATCCCTAGCTCCTAGAATGGTGTTGGGCAGATGATAAATGCTTAATATTTAATTACTGAATGAATTATATTGGGATATATGAACATTTACTAGCAAAATTAATAGACAAGAATAAAGTCTTCAAATATAGTATGCTCTTCAAGCTGGAAGACAAATCTCTCAATACTGCTAAGATATAAGAGCAAGCAAAGAAAGGATAAAGAAATATGAAGAGAGTCTAAGATTCATGCTGGATAACATGAAGAAGAACAGCTTAAGAAATAATGGCATTCCAGAACAGGAAGAATCAGAGAAGTCCACAGAAGAGATAATGAAGAGCTTCTGTAAGAAATTTTCCCCAACATCTTGAAAGGTGAGACGATAAACATTCAAGAAGCCAAACATACCCCAGAAAGGACAGATCCCAAAAGAAAGTCACCAAGACATATAATAATCAAGCTCTCTAAAATCAAAGACAAGGAGAGAATCCTAAAAGCGGTCAGGGAGAAGAGAAGTGTCACTTACAAAGGCAAGCAAATCAGATTAAGCTCTGACTATTCAGCACAAACCATGCAGGCAAGAAGGCAATGGGGAGACATATACAAAACCCTACAAGAAAAAAAAACTGCCAACCAAGAATTGTCTATCCAGCAAAACTATCAATCAAATACGATGGTGCAATCAAAACATTCCAGGATAAACAGAATCTAAGAGATTTTGTCAAAACCAATCCAGCACTTCAAAACATCCTAAAGGGAGTTCTTTGGACTGAAAACCAACAAGAACAGACAACAACCAGAGATTTACAGGCATGGCAACACCACCTGGAAATCAGTCAACAGATAGCAGAGTTCAGAACAGAACAAAACTACAACAACGAATTCAAAGGAGCTAGAAGGTCAACAGAAGATCAAAAAAACATCAGTGTCAAAGAAGGGATAACTGTAGGAACAGAGATCCAGGTGGTGAGGATATCAGGTAGATTACAGGATACAATATATTCTCTTAAATGGAGAGAAAAGTTAATAGACTATAAGGTAACCCCAAAGGAAGTTAATACTTCACAATTTTCCATGAAAATGAACTTCCAAGCAGAACAAGAAAACCTGAAAACGAAGATGAAACCGACAAGAAATAGCACAAAAAACACAAACTCAAATATAGTATGCTCTTATCTGTGCCATGGTCAGTGCTTGCACAACTATTATATTTGGACTGGTCAGATTACCTTCCCATCAAATTCAACAACCTAAAACATTACTGAAAGCCCTTCTCCCAAGTTACCAGCTCCTTTAACCAAAATAATTGCCCTCATTTCTATAGGTAAACTCCTATTTTTTTTCTGTCCACAATATAAGAAAATTCCAAACATGTTTTTTTTTTTCTATTAAAAAATAAAAAAGGTAAGAGGATGGGAGGAGGATTGCAGCCTATATCTTGAATAACGCAGGTCAGAGGGAAATTCATGAAAAATGATCTGTCTTTTTTCTTCCTAGGGGTAGGATTACAGATACCAGTAAAGACAAACTCGACTACATTCTCTACATGGATGACCTTGCTGCATGCATAGGCACAAAGCCCAATGTCCCACTTCTGTTCCTCAAGGATCCCAGACTAGCGTGGGCAGTTTTCTTTGGACCATGCACTCCTTACCAGTACCGTCTAATGGGTCCTGGAACATGGGATGGAGCCAGAAATGCCATTCTGACCCAGTGGGATAGGACACTGAAGCCCTTAAAAACTCGAGTTGTTCTTGATTCCTCCAAGCCTGCCTCCATGTCACATTATGTAAAAACTTGGACAGCACCAGTCCTACTTGTCTCTCTTCTGCTTCTCTGGAAATCTTCTTTTTGTTTTAAATTGTTCTGGAAGAAATTGCAAGATAGAATTTCCCCTTAACTAATAAGTATTTAGTGAAGCTGAATTTGGTTAGCTACAAGAGTTGCACCAAGTCATGTTAATTCTATCTCGAAATATATTGTGCATCCTTTCTCCCCTCTCTAGTATAACTGCTGCAATCCAAGTTCAGAGCCAACCATCGTGTCTCTGAATTATTTTATTATCTCCCTCTCTGGTCTCTCTACTTTCTTTCTGCTCTCATTTCCAATCAATTATTCTAAAATGAAAATATGGTCATCACTGCTAGGAGTTGGGTGGCACACTCAAATTAGATAACATATAGAAAAAATTAATAGAAAGATTATTTTTAAAGGCTTGGCAGGGTTTAGGGCAATCATAATGGTAACACTGAGGCATTCAATGAAGCGAGAGGAATAAACAGTTATGAAGGACAGAGAGAGAGCTTTGTGGAGAGGACCATCTAATTAGAGCTATGGCCTTTGGCTGACCAATGAAGACAATGCAAGTGACCAAAAACAGAGAGCTGGGGAATAAACTGCCTAACTGTACTTATTCCCTGCCTCTGATCCCTTGCCACTGCTCCCTAATGGCCAAACCCAACTGAATGTCAAAGAACAAGATTGCTAACTGATATGGTTCATGGAGTTCAACTTCCTAGGGCACTGAGCAGAGCAAAGATGATGGAGAGTGTATATGGAGGGACAAAGAGAAAGGATTAAGTGCAGTCTTCCTTTCTAGTTTAAAATCCTTCAAAGTTTCTCCCTAATTAGAGATAATCATCCAAATTCCTTAGGATAGCATAGGAGAACCTTCATGATCTGGGTCCCTTCCCTAGCTCACCAGTATATTTTCTTGCTGAGTCCTTTGCAAACCGTATCATTCAGCAATATCCAACAATTAAGTGTTTCATACCTCCACATGTATGCAAAAGTTGTTGTCTCTATGAGAAATGCAATTCCACACTTTACCTGACTGAAGAATTACAATTTCTCTTTCAAGAGTGGATTTCATATCTCCCTTTTAGAAGCCTTCTCTAATATACAAGACAGAATTGATCACATCTGTGTAACTACTGTACCTCCTGTACTATTTGCTGTTGCTCATTTCTTAACTATATGATTTTTTTTTTCATCTGTTCCCTCATTGTGAGTTCCTTAGAGAAACCATGTCTTATTCATCTAAAACACTACCTGATACAAAGAATTGTTAAATAAATGTTTGATGTATAAACATTAGCTTTGCCATTGACATTCCTTGTCTGTCCTCTTCTACCCACATTCTTTTCTTCTGGCAATATGAAAAATGACCTCAAGTCATACAAATGCATGAGGACATTCAAACAATAGCTAATTTTATAAGTTAAAAAAAAAAAGAAAGAAATTATAGGATATATAATTATACATTATATTATGTGAGGGGGCTTCAAAAAGTTTGTGTAAAATAGAATTTAAAGATAATGGAACTTTTTTGAGGAACACTTACATTACATTATATTGAATTATATTGTTGTTGTTGTTAAGTGCCATTGAGTTGGTTCTGACCCATAGTGACCCTATATAAGGTTTCTGAGGAGCAGCTGGTGAGCTTGAACTGCTGAACTTGCAGTTCAAATGGCTTTTCAGTCTGGCACATTAACCCACAGCACCACACCAGGACTCTTAAATTATGTTACATAACATTGTATTAGGAGAATACGTCAAAAAGTATTGCTACAAGAAAGCATTGCTAGAAACCTTTATTAAAGAAAAATATCAAAAAGTAAAGCTATTGTTTCTTGACATATCCTTTATCTAAGTCTATACACTTCTTAAGGTGGTGTTTCCATGTCTCTAACCCTTCCCCCAAAGAATTCTGCATTTTTTTATTTACACCACACAAAATGGCATTTTAGCAACCTCAAGGAACTCAATTTCTCTTCCTTTTTAATGTCCTTTGAGTTTGGGAAACAAAAAGATATCTGAAGGAGCAAGATCAAGGCTGTAGGATGAATGAGGTAAGGTTTCCTAACAAAAATTATCATATGACAGCCTTTGCTACCCAAAAGAATGAGCAAGTACATTGTCATGATGAAAAAGAAAATTCCTCAGCATAACTTTTCTCACCAATGCAGTCTGTAGTATTCTTAAGAATGCGTAATAAGCCCCCACAATCATTCCATCTCTTTGAATTCCCAAAAAACAATTTCTTTCCATAATTCTCTGAGCTAACCTCTCTGCCTTAAACCTCACTAGCCCCAGAGATCCCCTTATAAGTGACTGTTCTGATTAGACTTTTTTTTAAGTCATCCCAAACGCAACTAGGAGCACTGGTATGGTGCTCTGGGTTAATGCGCTGGACTGCAAAATCAGTTTGAACTGCAAGGGCTCGTCAGCTTCTCCTCGGGAACCCTATACAGAGTCACTATGGGTTGAACCGACTTGATGGCATGTAACAACAACAACAAGAAGACTAAGTATATTATTGAGAGAACTTGTCTGCAGACATGTACTGATTGCAGAGACATATTTAAGCACATTTTGTTTGGAATAGACCTATGCATTTATGAAGTGGAACCCTAGTAACAATACTTCTGGGTCAAACCTTTTCTATTATAATTGTCAGGTTGTTATACTGTGGTAGCTTCTGTGATGCTGTTATGCCAGAAGCTATGCCACTAGTATTTTCAATACCAGCAAGGTCACCCATGGTGGGCAGTTTTCAGCTGAGCTCCCACAAACTAAGATGGACTAGAAAGAAAGACAGGCAGACCACTTCTGAAAAATGAGCAACTGAGAACCTTACAAATAACATTGGAACACTGTCTGAATGAGTATACAGAAATGAGCCCCTCAGGTTGGAAGACACTCAAAATACAATGGGGGAAGTGCTACCCCTCAAAACAGAGTTGACCTTAATGACATAGATGGACCTTTATTAGCTGGTGTGGCATGATGGAAAATGAGAATAAACAACTGCAAATATTCATTAAAAATCAAAACATGGAATATATGAAGTATGATTCTAAAAAAATAAAGGTTGTCAAAAATTATATGGACTGCATAAAGATCAACGTCCTAGGCATTAGTGAGCTGAACTAGATGTTAATGGTCATTTTTCATCAGACAATCATATGGTTTGCTATGCCAGAAAAAGAGGAATGGCGTCACATTCATCATCATAAGAAAAATTTCAAGAGGACTTCTGGTAGGTTGGCGGACTACACAAACACAGTACACAGACCCTCTACAACAAAGATCAAGTGAAACAGACACTGAAGAAAATTCCATAACCCAAACTTCAGAGTAAAAGTTAGAGAAGTGGATTGAGTGTTTATTGGGAGGAGAAGCTGAGAAGGGCCAGTGAGAGAGGGAGACTAACTGGTGAAGAGCCTTGCTGAACTTTTATAAATAGCTTTGGCAATGGAAGGTGGCCTGGCAGAGTAGATTCACACATGAGATGGGAAAGATGCAATTCCTTCTTTTTCCCAATGCTCCCCTGGTGGCCAGAAGTGTGCTCAGCTCTCACCACCATCCACCCCCAGCACAGACCCTGCTCTCCAGAAGTTCGGAGCCACAAGATTGGGAGCCATGTTAGTGTGAGATGGAGGCCAGCTGTGCCACTTTGGTGCCTGGATTCAGGTAGGCTTGCCCCCAACTGCCCTGTAGTCCTAACAGAAACAGAAAGCAGCTTCCTCAAAGGCCTTCACGAACTACTTTTGGAATGAGTGTCCAGACCAGAGATAACTCCATCTAGGGCCAGGAACTCTGCTATCACATCCCTCCCACACCCACCTCATCAGTGTCTACTAGGCTGACAAGAGTCCTCTAGAGCTATCTCTTTTTGGGTCCAACAGCTGCAATGTGTTTATGGTGGTATTTTTGGGGGGAGGGTGATTTTTTTTTCCTTTTATTGTTTCATTTTGTTTGTTTATTCCTTTATTCTTTCTCCTTGTTCTTTTTCACTTTCCATTTCCTTACATTTTACACTTTTGATCTTTACTGTTGTTTTTCATTCTTGTTCTCATTTTCCCCTCTTCTTTTTTTTTTTTCCTCCCTTTTCATCTTTCTTTACAACTCTCTACTCTCTCTTGTGACATTGTGTGTTAATGGGCTGGGCTGCACAGTTGGTTTGATCTGCAAGGTTGGCGGTTCAAGCTCACCAGCTGCTCTTTGGAAATCTTATACAGGGTTGTAATGGGTAAGAGCCAACTCGATGGCACTTAACAACTCTCTCTTTCAGCTTCCCTCTCACTGGTTTTTAATTTCTTCTTTTTATTGTTGTAGTTGTTAAGTGCCATTATGTCCGTTCCAACTTCTTGTGGCACAGTTGTGACATGGTATAGGGTTTCCAAGAAGGATTGGTGAGTTTGAACTGCTGACCTTGTGTTTCAAACCAATCTTGCGGTACTGTGCTATCCTATAGCGCCACACAAGAAGCCCTTTTGTTACTTCTCTTATTTTTCTCTTCTATATCTCCATTTCCCTGTCCATCTTTTGTCTTTATAGTTATTATATTCTTTTTTTTTTCTGTTTGCTGCCTATTTTTATTTCATTTTTTCTCTTTATCATTTCTCCTTTCATTGTAGGTTCCTTGTTTGTTTTTTCTGCTTTGTTTTCTTGTGTGGAGGAGGGGGTTTTCTCTTTCCCACCTTACAGGAGACAGCAACAATGCATATACATCTCCATACATTGGGTAAGACACAGGAAGGAGTACAAGAGTTAAAGTGAATAGAGGTAAATAGTGTCAAATGATAGTACATGGAGGAAATTGTAACCATTGCAGCGAAGCAAAGTATATGGTTTTTTAAATGCAAAACTGATGATCTTATCTAAACCTTCACTCAATTCACAATACAAAGTAAAAATATATATATATTTAAATTCAAGATCTATTCTGAAGTACAATGGTGTCAGTGAGAAAATATCTATACTCCTACAAAGAAGACCAGTTATTCCAAACATTATTCAAATTTATACATTAATCATTAAAGCAAACAATGAATAAATTAAAGAATTCAGCAACTTCTGCAGTTTAAAATTAATCAAAGATGCAATCAAGATGCATTAATAAATACTGATAATTGGAATGCAAAAGTTGGAAACAAAAAGGAAACACTGGTAATTAGAAAACATGACCTTGGTGATAAAAAAAAAAAAAAAAAGCTGCTAAAGATTATATGGTAAGATTCTGCAACATCAACCACCTATTCATAGCAAATTCCTTTTTCAACTATTTATATGGACCTTGCCAGATGGAATATACAGAATCAAAAAGACTAGATAATGGAAAAGTTCAATATCATCAGCCAGAAAAAAGCCAGAAGCAGACTACAGAACAGACTCATCAATTGCTCACATGCAAGTTCAAGTTGAAGCTGTAAAAAATCAAAACAGGTACACGGGATTCAAAATACAACATTGAGTATATATCACTCAGTTTGCCACCATACCAGCCTGAATGTGCCCTACCTCGTCTAATCTCAGAAGTTTACCAGGGTCAGGCTTGGCTAGTACTTGGATGGGAGTGTATCACAAATGAATTTAGAGACAATCTCAATAACAGAATTCACACATTGAACATTAATGACTGATGACCAGGTGAATTTTGGGAAAACATCAAGGACATTATACATGAATAAAGGTTAAGGTCATTAAAGAAACAAAGACCAATATGTATGTCAAAAGAGACAGAAACTTACATTTGGATGTAAAGTAGCTAAGGCAACTGGAAAATTGATTAATTAAATGAGATGGACAGACTTCAAAGGGCAATTCAAAAAGACAAAATATTATAATGAAATGTTCAAAGGCCTGGAGTTAGAAAACTAAAAGGGACAAACAAGCTTGGCATTTCTAAAGATGAAAGAACTGAAGAACAATTCAAGCTTCAGGATACCATATTCAAAGATTATATGGGGAAAACTTGAATGATGCAGATGACATCTAAAGAAATCAGATTAATACAGTCATCCACTAATAAACTATCAGTTTGTTGTACTGTGGTAGCTTGCATGTTGCTCTGATCCTGGAAGCTATGCCACCAGTATTTGAAATACCATTAGGGTCACCCATCGACAGGTTTCAGAAAAGCTTCCAAACTAAGACAGACTAGGAAGAAGGAAATATGAACTACTTCTGAATATCTAGACACTGAAAACCTTATGAATAGCAGTGGAATTCTGTCAGCACTAGGATATTGAATAGTGAACCATGATGAACAGCACCAGAATATTGACAGATACAGGTCAGAAGATGAGCTCCTCAGGTTAGAAAGCACTTGAAATATAACTGAGGAAAAACAGCTCCTCAAAGTAGAGTTGACTGTGATGACACAAATGGAGTAAAGCTTTCAAGACCTTCATTTGCTTATCGGGCATAACTCAAAATAAGGAGAAACAGCTGTAAATATCCATTAATAATCATAAACAGAATGTATGAAGTATGAATCTAGGAAAATTACAAGTTGCCAAAAATGGAATGGAACACATAAATATCAATATACTAGGCATTGTTGTATTTAAGTGCCAATGAGTCAGTTCTGATTCATAACGACCCTGTATAGGGTTTCTGAAGGGTGGCTGGTGGGTTTGAACCATATAGTTCAAACTGACCATGAGGTCTAGTGCTTATCCTACAGCAACACACCAGGACTACATCCTAGACATTAGTAAGCTAAAATGGATTGCTCTTGGCCATTTTTAATCTGACAATCATGTGCTTTGCTATATCAGGAATAACAAATTGAAGAGAAATGGCATAGCAATCAAAATGAACATTTCAAGATCTCTCTTGAAGTATGTTGTCTGTGATAAATAAGACCTTGTATTATTTAAATTTACACACAACCACTAAAGCCAGTGATGATGCAATTGAGGAATTCTACCAATTTCTTCATTCTGAAATTGATCAAACATGCAGTCAAGATGAACTGATAATTACTGGTGACTGGGTTGGAAACAAACAGGAAGGATCAGTAGCTGAAAAATACGATCTTGGTGATAGAAACCATGTTTTATATCACATGATAGAATTTTGTAATACCAGTGACTTTTTCATTGCATATATCCTGTTTAGACAACATAAAAGACAACTATACACATGGACCTCACCAGAAGGAATACACAGAAATCAAACTGACTACATCTGTTGAAAGAGTGGAAAAGCCAGCCAAAGCAAAGCCAGGGGCAAATTGTGGAACAGACCATGAATTTAGAGATCTTGATTCCCACCTGAATTTAGAAATCATAACAAAAATGGTTTGATGCATTAGACAATAATGACCAAGACCAAAAGAGTTGTGGGATGACATCAAGAACATCACACAAGAAGAAAGCAAAAGGTCATTAAGAAGAAAATAAAGAAGAAAAAGACCAAAAGGAATGTCAGAAGAGGCTCTAAAACTTGCTCTCCAGCTTACAAATGTGAAAGAAATGGAGAAATGAGGAGGTCAAAGAGCAGAACAGAAAATTTCAAAGGCCAGCTCAAGAAGACGAAGTCAAGTACGATAACAAAATGTGCAAAGATCTGGAGTTAGAAAAAAAAAAAAAATCAAAAGAAGATGGAAGGTATAAACAGAATAACTGTAGCATATATAAATGGTTCAACCATTTCAAGAGGTAGCTTATAATCAAAAGCCAATGGTACGGTTGGGGAAGGCGCACTCTTTGTGGGGTCTCCTCGCAGTTGTGGGGCATAAAACCTGTTCTCTGTCACGCGGGCAGTATGTCAGACAACGAGGACAATTTTGATGGTGATGACTTTGAAGATTTGAAGGAGGAGGAAGTACTACATGACCTGGAGAATACCGAGGAGGAAGGCCAGGATAACGTCGATATACTTCCGTCAGGGGAGCCAACCAGTAACGGATCACCATGCCGTATATGACCAAGTATGAGTGAGCCTATGTGCTGGGCACCCAAGCCCTCCAGATCGCGATGTGTGCCCCCATGATGGTAGAGCTGGAGGGGGAGACAGACCTGCTGTTCATCTCCATGAAGGAGCTCAAGGCCGGAAAGATCCCCATCATCATTCGCTGCTACCTGCCAGACGGGAGCTATGAAGACTGGGACGTGGATGAACTCATCGTCACTGACTGAGCCCTAACCTCCTTCCTGCCCCACCTTGGCCTCTACCCTCTTGCTCTTCATCCATGTAAATAATAAACTGCTCTGCCTTCCAAAAAAAAAAGCCAATGGTACAATGAAACAGAAATTAAGAATCCAGAAATTAACCCATCTACATACAGCCAACTGATCTTTGACAAAGGGCCAAAGTATATTGAATGGGGAACACATAGTATCTTCAACAGATGGTGCTGACAGAACTGGAAATCGATATGCAAAAGATTGAAACAAGACCTTTACCTCATGCCATATACAAAAACCAACTCAGCACAGATTAAAGACCTAAATGTGAATCCCAGAATTATAAAGGTCTTCAATGAAAAAATAGGGACAAATTTAAGAACTCTAATACAGGGCACAACTCTGCTTTAAGGAGGCAGCTCTTTCCCAGTCACATTTTGAGTGCCTTCCAACCTGAAGGGTTCATTTTCTGGCACTATATCTGACAGTGTTTCTCTGCTATTCATAAGGTTTTCAGAGGCTAAATATTCAGAAGTAGTTCATCACTCCTTCCTAGTCTGATTTCATCTGTAAACTCATCTGAAACCTGTCCACCATGGGTGACCCTGCTGGTTTTAAAATACCAGTGGCATAGCTTTCAGAATCACAGCAACTCACAAGGCACCACAGTACAACAAACTGACAGATGAAAGCTAACCATGATGATGTGAATGGAGTAAAGTATATGGGAGTAAAGCCCACGGGACCTTCATTTGCTGATGGGGCACAACCAAAATGAAGAGAAACAGCTACAAAGTATGAATCTAGGAAAATCAGAAATTGCAAAAAATGAAATTGAATGCATAAACATCAATATCTTAGGCATTAGTGAGCTGAAATGGGCTGGTATTGGCCATTTTGAATCTGATGACCACATGGTTTACTATGCTGCAAATGACAAACTGAAGAGGAATGGTGTTACATTCAGTCAAAAAGAACATATCCAGATTAGTCATGAAGTACAACGCTGTCTGTGATAGGATAATATCCATGCGCCTACAGGGAAGCCCAGTTAACACCACTATTATTCAAATTTATGCACCAACCACTAAATCCAGTGAGGATGAATTAGAAGAATTCTACCAGCTTCTTCAATCTGAAATTGATCAAACATGCAATCAAGATGTATTGATCATTAATGGTGATTGGAATGCAAAGGTTAGGAACAAAGAGGAAGGATCAGTAGTTGGAAAATATGGCCTTGGTGATAGAAATGATGCTGGCAATCGTATGATAGAATTCTGCAAAACAAATGATTTGTTCATTTCAAATACCTCCTTTAGACAGCACAAAAGACGATTACACACATGGACCTCACCAGATGGAATACACAGAAATCAAATTGTCTATATCTGTGGAAAGAGACAATGGAAAAGCTCTATATCATCAGTAAAACAAGGCCAGGGGCAGATTGTCGAACAGACCATCAATTGCTCATATGTAAATTCAAACTGAAGCTGAAGAAAATGAAAACAAGTCCATGAGAGCCAAAATATGACCTTGACTATATCCCACCTTAATTTAGAGATCATCTGAAAAACAGATTTGATACATTAAACACTAAACAC